CGACTATATCCTATAGCTGCCATATAACTGATTGATCGGAAATTCCATAACTTTGGTATTTGTAAAGTTAGGAAGTTGGCATTTTCTATGGGTTTTATATTTGGCCAATCAATCCGACCTACCAAATTTCATAAGGATCGGCCGACTATATCATATAGCTGCCATATAACTGAACGATTGGAAATGCCATAACTTTGGTGTTTTTAAAGTTAGGAAGTTGGGATTTTTATGAGTGTTAAGAATGCATCATATGAATAATTTTGGAGAATACAATTTACAGAGTATTCTTCGGCTCCGCCCGAAGTTAGCTTTCCTTTCTTGTTTTTATTGTGTTTTTTCGTACATTTTTGACCTAAGAAACATTTTGCTCAGCCAAGAGGCACCCCAGATAGTATTAATATTATTTTGTCCTCACATGTAAACTCCTGCAATCGACTTTTGCGAGTTTTTTGATTTTTTCCCCAATTTTTTAAAATGTTCAGTGGGAAGCGCACGCCAAAAGATTAAATTTTTATACCCGTTACTCGTAGAGTAAAAGGGTATATTGTATTCGTGCAAAAGTATGTAACAGGTAGAAGGAAGCGTTTCCGACCCTATAAAGTATATATATTCTTGTTCAGGATCACTAGCCGAGTCGATCTAGCCATGTCCGTCTGTCCGTCTGTCTGTCCGTATGAACGCTGAGATCTCGGAAACTATAAAAGCTAGAAGATTGGCATTTTGCATGTAGATTTTAGGAGTTCCTACGCAGTCAATTTATTGCACAGCTGCTGGTGCAGGACAAAAGCTGCCTGTGCTAAAGCAGGGCTGGTGCTGATGCTCGTGCTGTAAAGCTGCCAGCTCTAAGAGATCACCGAATTCAAATTGATAATTTGAACTTTTTTAGCTGAGTAACGGGTATCTAATAGTCGAGACACTCGACTATAGCGTTCTCTCTTGTTTAATATTGTGCTCGCTGAATAATGTCGATGTTGCTGCTGCTGGCGTTTCCCCATTTATCCGCATTTATTTTTATACGCCAGTCTGATAACCACCTCTCCACTACAACGAGATGATCAGCTAGTAGTGCTGTTGCCTGAATTGGGCATTTGGGCCGACTTATGGTCGCGGTATCGTCTGCGAATGTAGAAGTAGTTAGCCGCTCGTTCGTGGGAATATCTGCGGTGTAGAGGAGAAATAGAGTTGGACCAAGGGCGCTACCTTGGGGATACCTTGTAAGGGTACGATTCAAGTAAAATGTGAGTGTTTCCCGGCAGGATCGTTCTGATTTTATGCATAAGGCCATCAAGCCAGACTCGATCAAAAGCCTGTGCAACGTCAAGGAATACCGCACTGCAGTATTCCCGAAGCTCGAATGCAGTCCGTATTTCTGTTGTTAGTCTGTTGATTTGCTCTATTGTTCCATGGCTTTCTCGAAAGCCAAATTGGTGTGCTGGAATAACGTTGTGCTCTTTCAGATATGGGATTATGCGCGTCAAAAGGCAGTTTTCGAGCAGTTTTGACAGACACGAGAGTAAACTTATCGGTCTGTACGAAGCTGGTATTGTGTGATCTTTTCCTGACTTTGGTATCATTATGATTACCGATTTTTTTGAGCTTCAGCCAGTTGGTTCGATGCGACGTCAGCCTGCGAGGGTGCTCGATTAATTCCGGGCTTTGAAGAAGATTTATTAGCACTGGTGAGTGGTCCGATGATAGATCCAAAAGCGATTTTGCAGATATTAGATTGCGAGAAATGTTTTTGTCACAGCAAATTCAATTAAATCAGGTAGTTTTCTAGGATATGTAGGCCAGTTTTTAGGGCTGTCTGGTGAAACGTAGTCCAGTTTGTTGCATGTTTTAATGAGGGCATTATATAGTTGCCTTCTTTCGGGGTTGTAATCTCCTGCTGCTATGAATCGCTCACCAAGTGAATTGTAGAAGTCCATGAATTGGTCTTCGGAGACTGTAAAGCGGGGTGGGCAGTAGACAGCGGCAATAGCAAGGTTGCAGTTGCCCAACTATAATTTTATCGATGTAGCTTGCAGATGATTTTATGCAAACCGTTGGTGAAAGTGGTGTTTGACGCGGTGCTTTATTAAGATGCCAGTTCCGCAATGCGCTTTACCATCTGGATGATCTGTGCCGTAGATCGTACATCCCCGTATTTGAAAGTTATTTTTGCTGGAGAGATGCGTTTCTGCCAGCAACATAACGTCGATCTGGTTTTCGTTCAGAAATTGAGTTATTTCAGGTTTATGCCGTGATGTTTCACGGTTTGCGTTCCACAGAGTTATTCGAAGGCTAGACATGGTTTAATAGGACTGCTGATCTGCAAGCATTTGTATAAGGGTTTGCATGGTGGTTTTCATGAAGGACATAAATTCCATCATATTTTGTTGCAAAGTAATCATCATAGATTCCATGTTACTTTATGGCTGTCCCATGGCCTGCTGGATGTTATCAATTTTCGGCTCTGTGTGAGCTGTGCCTAATCTTAGAGCACTGGGGTAAGACATTCCGTTGGTGGTAATGGAGGGGCCAAATGATGATCTGGCTGCTTTTGCGAAGAAAACTTCCGGTGTCGTTTGTGATCTCATATAAGTGTTTTGTGTGTTCAGGGAGCGTGCCGTTGTCGCTCGTTGCATCCGACAAGCTCAACTATTTTGTTGACTAGGGCACTCGAGATCTTCTCCCGAATAAAAATAGGTGTGGGCTTTAGTTTCCTTGGGGCTAATTGTTCAGACTCTGTTTCAGGCTCCGACAGTATGGAAAATCTATTTTCATCTAATGGACCGTAGCTTTGTTTTTGCCGTTTGCACCGATTTTTGCACTTGGTTGTGTTGTTGCTTTACCTGCAGCACAAGAAGAGGGTGGAGTCGTTATTGCATTGTTGGCGGCAGAGACCGTTGTAGTAGTCGTTGCTGTTGTTGTTGCGCTAGGCGGCAGAAGCTCTGTTGCACCTTCAAGCACTTTCGGTTCTAGAGTATTACTCGTCACTGTAAAATAAGCATTGTTTCGGGCCAAAGAAAGACGACGTTTGTCTTGCTCTCTCTGAATTTTTTCACGGGCTTCGTCTTGTTGTTTTTGTCGTTGAGTGCGCTGATCCACGTTCATACTCATTTGTTTATCATTAGTGCGAAAAGATTAATTATTTAATTAATTAAAACTTTAGATTACGATATGCGATTTGCATCGCGAAATGCAAAACCTCGCGTTTATTAATTTTTCGAACGTCTTCGACTGATTGACTAATTGTTTTTTCGGAGCGTTAATAAAACACGTCTGCACGCAGCCGAAGTTCGATTTATTGAGTTGAAGTTCTAAAGTTCAAAAAGAAAAGCTCCTGGCCGAGGTTCATTGGATTAGATTTAAAAATGAAGAGGCAGTCCTATTTTTATCGCGACCGCGAACGGTTGACAAAAATTAAAAAGTAAACTGAAAGTGTCTTGTATTTAAAGTGTTTAAGAATAAAGGCTTATCACCAAAACAATATAATAAAAAAATTGTATTTTTTTAAATCATCGACGAACAAGAAATTTAATTTGCACACTTGAGGCGCCTCGGTGAAATGCTTGTACCAGGCATAATATGACATATATTTTAATGAACAAATTTGAAAAGACTGTTAAAATATATATAACAACATGTACCCATTTGTAGCGTAACAGATCTGTGCAGTAGTGTAGTGTTATTAAAAATACTGCACTCGTTCTTTAAGCCTAGTACTCAGATCGACAAACGAGTATGCTAGCGTAAAAACTTTAATCTTTCCAGTGTGACCAAAATTTCGAGAGCTCATTGGACTTATGCGTGCTACGGTCGTACTGTCAATCAGCTGGGTTTGTTGACAAGCAGTTAAAAATCAATTATCGTATTTGCGGGAAAGAGCCTTTAAAATATATTATCAAATATCTTGGCAAGACAAGTCTGCCGCTGTACAAAGAAATTAAAAAACAATACAATTTAAATTTAACAGTTTTTTTTTTATTAATTTACTGATTGTTGGGGCGGGTCCGTGCCAAGAACACTTCCAAAGTTTTCCCAAAGAAATATATGTATATAAAAAACGCGGGGTTGTGGAGCTTCGTTTTCGCTTGTGATCCGTTTCACCTTTTATTTCGTAATGACTTGTAATATATCGTAAGCTTAGTCTAGAGGCCACCGATTCGGTTGCCAGTGATGCCGAACCAGCTATCTTCGAACCAGCTATCTTCTTGTTCGACATGAACATTCTCCCCCCCTCGCAATGGGGAGAGTGGCAGGTCACGAAAGGGAGCAAGTGCCTGAAAGGAGCCACCCCAAGGCAGTCCGTTCTGACTCGGGAGCATACCCGGCAGAATTAATTCCGCGTATACGTCAGCTCCCAAGACGGCCGACACCAAGGAAGGGTGGAACCATCTGTCATCAGCCAGAGTGATGTTTGGAATGGCATCCCGGACCTTCGGATCCAGGGGCTTGGCCGGAGTTCGGGTCTGCATCTGGTCACCAACCAGCATTAGCAGCTGTCGGGTCATCTTTGACGACTTTGAGCGGATTTAGGTGGTGCACACCCGCTCATCGCCCACGCGGGTGACGGAAAGGTTGAGGGCCTTTGTCAAAGAAACGTGAATGCGACTCACGGGGCAGCAAGGATCCACCAAAGCTCGGACGTCAAACCGTTTCTCCTCAGACCCCACCAAAATGGATGCCGTTGGCAAGATGCTCACACTCGTGCGCTGCAGGATAGCGTCGCACGATGGGCCCGTAACAAGGCTTCGGGGGGTCCTCCTTTGGTGACGATGAGCGCAACGACGTCGTGGATTGTGGGCTTGGCGTTGCCATGGGGGTGGTGGTGCGTTGGTGGGGAGGGGTATGATTGGTGAACAATCTGTGGAAGCGAGTAAACAAAGGTTAGGGGTTATGGATGATGCGAATGATCGTGACATGTATGAGGACTGACGACACAGGCTGACATGAGTTTAGGACTAGTAGGATTGGATGTTAGTCGCTAACTCAAGAAAAAAAAGGAAAAGGCAGAATCACTCGGAGCTGGAGGCCTCCATCGGAAGGCGGATCATCTTTGCGATTGGTCGTCGGATAATGCCACGTGCGGTGAGAACATCTGCCACTCGGGTCTTGCCATCCGCGCCTGGGCACACCAGTTGGATCCGCCCAAACCGCCATTCATTTGGTGGTAAATTCTCCTCTTTTAGCACCACCATGTCCCCCGTCTGAATGTCTCGCGTTGGAAATTGCCATTTGGTCCTTTTATGGAGCTCCATTAGGTACTCTTCTTTCCAACGTAAGCAAAATTGCTGATGCAGGGCCTTTAGCCGCTGCCATCGGTTTAAAATGGAAAAGGAGTGGCCCACCGACTAGGAAGTGTACGGGGCTAACAGCTACGAGGTCTGTGGGGTCTTCGGACATTGGAGAAATAGGCCTCGAGTTTAAACAGGCCTCAATTTTCGATAGGAGGGTAGCTAACTCTTCAAAGGTGTACTTCCCGCCAGCTGTTTGCTTGTAGAAGTGTGCCTTAAAGCTTTTGACACCGGCCTCCCATAGCCCTCCCATATGAGGCGCGCCAGGAGGGTTGAAGTGCCAGGTCACATTTTGAAGACTGTACTTGGACAGGATCAAAGACCTCGTAGCTTCAATGAAATCCTTGGATAAGGACGTGGAGGCTCCGACAAACGTTTTCCCGTTGTCAGAGTATATGTGGTGCGGACAGCCACGTCGTGCGGAGAAACGCGAGAAGGCTGCCAGAAACTTCTCAGTGGTCAAGTCTGATGTAGCTTCTAGATGGATGGCTCGGGTACTAAAACACACAAAAACGCAGACATACCCCTTAGTTATCTTACACCCCCGACCGAGATAGTTTTTTATGTCAAATGGTCCCGCAAAGTCAACGCCCGTGTGGGTAAAAGCCCTGGAAAAGGTAGATCTTGCGCAGGGCAAGTCTCCCATCAGCTGAGTTTGCAGCTTCTGTCTGTGGATGGTGCACACTCGACAGGAATGAATGGTGTCTCTTACAAGATTTCTCAGCTTAGGTATCCAATACTTGGAGCGAATCAGTCGGATCATCAATTGATTACCCCCGTGCAAGGATATGCGATGGGTAAAGAGGGCCAAAAGTTTGGCAAAAGTGCACCTTGCCGGAATGATGATTGGATGTTTCTCATCATAGCTTAGCATCTCAGATGCTCGTAGACGGCCGCTGGCTCTTAAGACACCGTGGCTGTCGATAAAGGGGTTTAGATTGGAGATCGTGCTGGAGACTGGAATATGTTGCTTTTTGCCTAAGGCCTTGCATTCTATTGGATACTCATTGAGTTGGGTGAGCACAATCAGCCTCTCTTGGACATCAGACAACTCTGCGGCAGTGAGTTCTGCCTTTATGTTAACGTTTTGCTTGCGACACATTCTTGCAAACCGGAATACGTAAGCGAGAACGCGTAAAGCCCTCTCGAATGCTGAAAAACGCTCCAGAATGTCATTTTTCGGGGGCGCTGTGGCGACGTTACACCTTATCGGGCGCTGTTCGAGCTCGGTTTCGAGCGGGACCGACGTATTGCTCCTGGTTGTGACGCAGCCACTCAGGCCCATGCCACCAGAGGTTGCTGTCCTTGAGCTCATGGACTGAGACGCCCCTGCTTGCCAGATCAGCCGGGTTATCTTCCGATTTCACATGAAACCACTGTTCTCTGTTGGTGAGCTGATCAACTTTCGCGACTCTGTTGGCAACGAATGTAGTCCAAGTGCATGCTGGCTTGCTTAGCCATGCAAGACTTCGTGGAGTCTGTCCAATAATATGTATCATACTGAGTAGGAGGCATTTCGGAGAGAACTGCTGCGGCGAGTTCGGAGAGAAGCACCGCACCGCACAGCTCTAATCGCGGTATGGAAAGGGACTTTACTGGAGCAACTCGGGTTTTGGACAAAAGCAAGTGGGTGAAGCAGCCATCAGTCGTTTCGACGCGAACAAAGATGGCAGCACCATAGGCGCTCTGCGATGCATCGCAAAACCCGTGGTACTGCAGTTTTGCTGCTGGATGAAATCTTACCCATCTTGGGATGCGAACTTCTTTCAAAGTCTGATACCCCTCAAGAAAATTACGCCACCTTGTGACAAGATCAGTCGGAAGAGGCTGGTCCCAGCTTAACTCCCGCAACCAAATTTCTTGCATGAGCATTTTTGCCCGAACAATAAATGGCGATAACCATCCTGCTGGGTCAAACAGTTTGGCTATCTGGGATAAAACCTCTCGTTTGGTGTAGGTTGTTTGGAGAGAAATATCCATCGGCAGGAAGAGGAAACTGTCCGATGTCGCATGCCAACGGATTCCCAGAGTTTTTGCCATACTGGCGTCTTCCAATTCCAGAAAGTCGGCCCTAATCAAGTGTTCCTTTGGAATGCCCTGTAAAAGTTTCTTCTCGTTTGAGGTCCACTTGCGCAGTGGAAAGCCCGCACTCTCTAGGGCACCGCGGAGCTCTTTGATGGCTGAAATAGCGGACTGCTGCGTGTGGGTGCCGGCTAAAACATCATCGACATACATAAAACTAGAAATTATGTCACTTGCCAAAGGATATTGGTCACGTACATCATGAGCCAGTTGTTGAAGCACGCGTATGGCCAAAAAAGGGGCACAGTTAACGCCGAAAGTGACAGTGTTGAGCTCATAATCACAGAGTTTTCCCTCTTTATCGCGGAACAGGATTCTTTGGAAACGTGTATGATCGGAATGGACGAGAATCTGCCGATACATCTTAGTGATGTCAGCATTGAAGACGTATTTAAAGAAACGCCATTTGAGGATCTGGGTGGTTAAATCAGATTGCAGTACCGGACCTGTATGAAGGATATCATTTAGGCTGTACCCGTTTGACGATTTATTGGAGGCGTTAAACACCACGCGAACCTTTGTGGTCGTACTGTCTGGCTTGAAAACCGCGTGGTGCGGCAAGTAAAAATTGCTGGAGTCGTCATTTGGAGAGACTAGGTGCATATGACCTAAATCTAAATATTCCTGAATAACTGAGTTATACTGCTTTCTCAAAAGAGCGTTTTTACTCAGCCGTACTTCATTCCTAAGAAATTGCGCCAGTGCGATGGACCGTGAATGCCCCAGGTTTATTTTGTTAGGTTCTTTAAAGGGCAAAGAAACAACATACCTTCCTTCTTTATCCCTTGTGGTGGTTTGCTGGAAATTATTTTCACACACCGAGCTGGATTCCTTACCCGGCTTCACTGGAACATCCTCCACCTCCCAGAACTTGGTGAGGATACCGTCTAGTTGAGATTCGGTGACAGACAACCGTGCTGAGAAGGAAGATATTCTGTTAGTGGGATTCTTCGCGATTGGGCCGCAAAGAATCCACCCGAATATGGTCTCTTGGCCAAGGAGTGTTCCGCAAACATTTGAATGGAAGCCGCCTAAAATGATCGACGGAAGGATATCGGCGCCTATGAGCACGTCAATTTGCGAACTCTGGTAGAAATTCGGATCTGCTAATTGGATGGGAGGGAGGTCCCTCAACGACCCTTCGGGTATCGTATAGGATGGAAGATTTCCGGCTAAATGTGGTAGCACATATGCAGACGCTTCGATTTGGATTTGTGGCTTAATGGGGGAGCCTATATGGAATTGGCAGCGCTTACGTGGTTGAGCAGCAACAGTTTGGTTTACTCCCGAAACTTGAGCTTGTATGGATTCGTAGGGGAACTTAATTAGGTTGAATAACCGTTCTGAAATAAAGGTCGCCTCGGATCCGGAGTCAATTAAGGCACGTGCTGAGTACCTAATGCCCAAGTGGCAGATTTCTATGAGCGCCGTACTCAGGAGGACCCCTTGCGTGTTCACGGCGAGGTACGTTTGGACGTTCGACGGAGTGGACTGTATTTCTGGCTGGAGGTCAGGTTCGGATGCTGACTGGAGTTGTGGAGGGCCGCCGCGATGGAGGAGAGTATTGTGGCGACCTTTGCACGTGTAGCAATTGTGCGTACTCGTGCAGTCTCTCAACATGTGGGTTCTTGCAAAACAGTTCAGACAGAGTTTCTGTTGTTTAATACACTGTTCCCTGACGGCAACCGACATATTCAAAAACTGGGGACACAGACGGATCGGATGGTTCTCCCTTGGACAAAGTTTACACGACTGTGGATTTACGGTGACCCTATTTTCAAAGTTATGGATAATCCGCGGCCCACCTTCAGGACGTGGGGCTCTGGATTGAGTGGTCAAAGTAGGTTTAAATTCTTCAATTGCCTCCAGGGTTCGATGACGACCTTGTAAGAAGGTCTTGAATTCTTCCCACCCTGGAATCTCGGATGGGTTGAGGAGGGACTGTTCCCACAGAGCCAACGTCAGCTTCGGCAGCTTTGAGGAGCACAGGAAGACGAGAAGACAGTCCCAGTTTGTTATGTCTACTTTTGCTATTTTCAGGGCTGTCAAACAACCTTGGACAGTGCTCTCCAGGTGCTTAAGGGAATTGCCACACTCTTGGGAAACAGTGGGGAGACTAAACAGGATCTTTAGCTGGCTGTTGACGAGCAGTCGCTTGTTTTCGAAACGAGTCTGCAGATTTCCCCATGCGGACGCAAAACCTTCGTTAGTCAATGGTGATAATGCCACAATAGACTTTGCTTCTCCACTCGTTTTCGAGTTGAGGTGGAACAACTTTTCAACGCCTGAAAGCCTCGGATTTTCGACATAGATGGCGGAAAAAAGGTCTCGAAACGTCGGCCAATGAACATAGTCGCCACTGAAAATTTCACAGTCTATTGGAGGGACGCGGCATCCACTAGGCAGAGGCACCGGTGTGGGCGGTTCATGAATCGGTTGAACGCTAGCTCTTTCAATCGTTTCGTTTAGTGTTGCAGCGCATCTTTCAAAAACAGAATAGCAGTAGTCATACTTGGCTTGCATGACTTCCATCGTGTCTGTACTATCTACTAAGGAAAGAACCTCAGATGACGTCTCGTACTCTTTCTCTACCTTGTCCCAAAGAGCTTGTATCTGCTGAAGTCTGACCTTGTTAGTGTGAACAGACGGAGGTGGGTCTGTTGGGGTATTGACCCTGGCTTCGAACTGACTGACCCTATCGGTCACAGCCACAAACTTTGTCAAGGCAGCTTTAGCTTCAGCGTCAGCCATTTTCGCAGTTGATCTCGTGACTTGTAGGGACAAAACTGACTGTGACGCAGTTGTTCTCACAGGTTTTGAAGGGGTTAAGGACTTTTCGCTTGTTGTCCTGGAAGTACGGCTGATCCTTATGGATGGAGTTAAGCTTTTACTAGGTCCTGCCTTTTTGGTGGGTAGTGACGACTCGCTTTTAGCTCTGGCCCGGCTGGGTGTTTTGACTGATGGGACGGTTAACTGAACTTTAGGTTCCTCACCTTCACCAATCGGCATAGTAGGCTCGAGTGGGAGCCTGAACTTACACTGACGGGACAAGAATAGGGACGTGGAAGCTGTCGCTGTTTAATGCGTCTCGGCTTAACGATTTGGAAGCTGGTCAGAGAACCATACCACGGATCAATATAACACAAATATGTAAGTGGGTACAATATATAATTTGGATGGAATGTGAAATGGGTGTATGTCTTGGAGAATATATGACTGCACCAGAAGGAATGGATGCGGAACGCGTGGAATCGGATCGCTGTTGTATGATTTACTTTATTTTTGGATGAAATTTATTATTATTTATTTATTTATTTTCTAATTTTGGAAAGTTAATCCAATTTATTGCTATATATGACTGCACCAGAAGGAATGGATGCGGAACTCGTGGAATCGGATCGCTGTTGGAGGACTTAGTTTATTTTTGGAAGAAATTTATTAACATTTATTTATTTTTAATTTTGGAAAGTTAATCGAATTTATTGCTATATATGACTGCACCAGAAGGAATGGATGCGGAACTCGTGGAATCGGATCGCTGTTGGAGGACTTAGTTTACTTTTGGAAGCAATTTATTATTTTTATTTATTTATTTCTAATTCTGGAAAGTTACTCGAATTTATTGCTAAAGCCAAGTATCCAGATCGACGAAAACCATACGCCAGTCATGGAGAGAGAAGCGAGATGCGAACTCGTTGGCCGAAATAATACCGGAAAATTCCATAGCGTTTCCAGTCTACGGAAATGGACTTTGGGTAAACCAAAAAGTTTAAAAAATTTAATGAGGACAATGGGTGGGGGCCTTTTTAGCAAAATGTTTCTTAGGTCCAGAATAAACAGAAAAAAAAGATGCAGCTATGAACTTTAAATTAGCAAATAATTATCAGTAAATTAAAAAAACAACTGTTAAATTTAAATTGTATTGTTTTTTAACTTCTTTGTACAGCGGCAGACTTGTCTTGCCAAGTTATTTGATAATATCTTTTAACGGCTCTTTCCCGCAAATACGAAATTTGAATTTTAACTGCTTGTCAACAAACCCAGCTGATTGACAGTACGACCGTAGCATGCTTAAATCTGATGAACTCTCAAACTTTTGGTTTTAGCGTAATCGTTTGTCGATCTGGATACTAGGCTTAAGTCCCAAATGCAATGCAGTATGAACGGCCTATTATGTGATGCGGTGCAGTACGGAATGCCCCGAACACCCTGTGTTCACACAAAAATGCAATGTAAATAAGAGAAAAACAACCACCTAATAATTAAAACTACTAAAATATCAGCTAGATAATTATTGGGTTGTGGTTTTTATTCGGGATGCCGCGGAGATCAGGAACCCAACAAAAAACGGTTGCCGCCACCCTTCGATTCGCCGGTCCGACAAATATGCCAAGTAGGTGGTTCTGCAGCAGTGTTCGTAATCCGGGTTTGTTATTGTTTTGTGTGTTTTAGTTTAAAAATAATGCTGGCACAAGTGTTTTAGTTTGCAAAGTGTTTTAGTTTAAAGACAAATGTGGAAAAATTGGTCTTTGCACGGTGTATGGATTCTGTGTGTATATGTGTATGCGTATGGATATGTGTGATTTTATTTAATTTTTTTTTGTGTTTTAATTGGTTTGGAGTTGCAAAGGAGATATATAAATATAAATATTTTCCCACAAAATAGAGACCTTAACGGTGGAGCGGGGTTGGGAAAAAAAATATAAATAAATTTTTACAAAAAAAAAAAAAAAAAAAAAAAATATTTTAATTTTTTTTATTAAAAAAAAAAAAAAATGAAATTAAAAAAAAAAAAAAAAATTTTAAAAAAAAAAAAAAAAATCTCTAAACCTTTTTTTAAAAAAAAAACCTTTTGTTTTGGTTTTTAATTTTTGGGTTTTTTTTTTTTTAATTAAAATAATTATTTTTTATTTTTTTTTTTCATCTTGTTTATGACTTCGGTCCCGAAATCTGAGTATCCTGAGTCGTGGGAAAGGGCCGATAGTCAGATCAGCGGCTCATTTAAATTGTTTAGTCTATTGGTCTGGAGTTTTTAATAACATGGAAATTTTCCATGGTTTGTTGACAATTAGGTTTCGATTTCTCTGAGGGTGTCTTAAAGTAATGTGTGGGTGTGTAGACTTGTACATAGAGGTTTGAGGTGCTGTGGATATGTCACTCCCCCAACCTTTGAATTTGGCCTGTCCTCAGGACGATAAATTAGGATATAATGAAATATTTTCTTCTATGTTTACAGTAGGTTGATCGTTTACATTTTCTGGTTTTTTCGGTGTTTCTTCCTTTGGTTTTACATATGTATTTTACAATTAATTTTCTTGGTATACTTTTGAACTTATAGAATAGATACAATAAAATGCTTATAATTGTAATTACAAATGTGGTTGCAGTTATTATTTGGAATACATTATTATATTTTGTGTGCGTTTCTATAATTTCTTTTGTTTGAATATATGATAGCGGTTCTAATTTAGTTACATTGTTGCTTACATAAATGCTCTGTGTATATTCTAGCATAGTATTTGAAAGTATGAATTCATCTAGTTGTACTGAACAATTAAGAATTTTAATAAAATTATTACCAAAGATAGAAATTTCTTTATTAATACAATTTTGATTTAAAAGTGTTTTAGGGATATTCCACGTCAATAATATATTTGGTTCAACGTAATTAATTTGGAAATTTTTATGTGTTTTAGTATATTTGCAACTTGTGGATTCTTGTTTTATTATGCCATTTATACATTCGTCAAATACTACTTTTCCTGTTTCTTTATTAAATACTTTTTCTTCGTGAAGGTAATATTTTTCAAATATGTTTTCTGTCACAATGGTATTATTATCATCTGGATATGGAATTATTTCAAAAATTGGTGCCTTAATGATATCCGTAGGAATGTGGGAAATTATTAAAATTTCATTTGTGTCTGTCTTAAGCCAAGTGGAAGTTTTAATTTTCAACAATTTCTCAGAACTTATTTTAGTTAAATCATCATGTTTTAATAATTTCGGATTAAATATACCAAGTCGTGTCAACTGCATTCCTAGCTCAATATCAATTGCAGTTGTTAACCCCAGTAAACCTGGTCAGGTCAGACTCGTCTTTGATGCTGCGACTGAATGCAATGGAACTACTCTTAACAAGAATTTCAATGCCAAGAAATATCAAGATGAATATCCAGAAGCGGTAAAGGCTATTATTACAAATCATTATGATGACGATTATTTGGACTCCATGCCAGCCTACTTATCAACATAATAAATTCTGTGTTATGACCCTTTAGGCCTCATGGCCCTGGTAACCATCAAAGGGCGAATATTGATGCGTGACGTGTGGCAGTCTGGAATCAACTGGGACGAAAAACTTAAAGGAGGTCTGCTGATTAAATGGAAAAATGGGTTGTCGTCTTTATTATCAATTGACACCATTAAAATTCCACCATGTTACAGTTCTAATCTCACAAAAGCGGATCGCATCGAATTCCACATATTCAACGACGCGAGTAGCAAGGCCTATTCCTTAGCAGTATACATAAAATGCTGTTATCAACAAGAAGAATTTGATGTATCTTTAGTCGCATCAAATGCAAAATTCCAAATTGAATTGGATAAATAGTGATAAACGCATGGAAGTATTTGTAGCTAACCGAATTGGTGAAATATGTGAAAAAACGGAACGAAAGGAGTGGAATTGGTTATCAACCAATGAAAACATTGCTGATGTTATAACTCGCTACAACATATCAACCCATAAGCAGTAAAAATGGTTAACTGGCCCTCAGTTTCTTCAGAAGCCGTCCTCTCAATGGGAAATAAATCAGCCGGTATTTGAGAATGACAACCACCCAGAGATAGTCATGGTTATTCAAGAAGCTGAACACCCCTTTAACCAATTACTTTCGAGAATATCCACTTATAAAAAGTTAATACGAAGCCCTGTCTAAATTCAAAGATTTTGGAACAATGTAGAGTAACTCAGGAAATCGTAAGCTTGGAAATTTGTGCACGGTAGAAATTGAATGGGCAGTAAGTGTTTGGTGCAAGTTTGTGCAACAAGAATCCTATCCCGACGATTTGTCTGCTCGCCTCACAAAATATTGTCTTTTTTTAGATAAGTATGAGATAATGCGTGTGGATAGCAGAATCGGCCGGGCCAAGGAGACATCAATTTACTCAAATGCTGATTTGAAAACTTCATCTTGATGCTCAACATATTGGTATGCAAGTGGTGCCAAAGCTAAATCGATTCATCAAAAAGACAATTAGCGATTGTGTCTGGTGCAAACGTAAAAGGGCAAAAACAGATACGATTTCTAACTCATGAAAGACCATTCACAGCAACAGGCGTGGATTACTTTGGCCCGATTCACGTAAAAGCAAACAGTGGAACCCGCGCAACTAAAAGTTTTCGCAAACGATACGGAGTTATTTTCACATGTCTAACTACTCGAGCAATTAATGTTGAAATAGCACATTCGTTAGACACTGATCCCTGTATACAAGCAGTCCGAAGAATGATGGCTCGACGAGGCCCAGTAAAAATTATCTGGTCTGATAATGGTACAAACTTTCGAGGTGCAGCAAGCAAGCTACTAGAGGCTCTTGAAGAACTCGACGAAGCTTACATCAAAACATATTTGGCAAGTAATAAAATAACATGAAATTTCATTCCAGCTAATGCACCAAATTTTGGTAGATGTTGGGGGAGGCTTGTCGAATGTTTTAAGAGGACAATTGAAGCAGTTATTTCAACA